CACCTGCCTACTCCCCCACCTGTAAACTCTTTCCTAGCCTGAGTAAAGACCCAAGTTCCTCACCACTCCTTCCAGGGCCCCAGGACTGCCACTTTGATCATTTCCAGACTCTCTTCTCACATCTTCAGTGGGCTTCTCAGTCCCCTCCCACAAGTTCCCATGGAGACCCAGGCTCAACCCTCCAAGTGAGTAGAGGCCCAAGAACTTGCTGCCTTAGTTATCTAATGCTGCTAAAGCAGAAATACCACAAGTGAATGGCTTTAACAACCAGAAATGTCTTCTCTCACAGTTTAGGAGATTAGAAGTCCAAATGTAGAGTGCCAACACTAGAGGAAAGCTTTCTCTTTGTTGGCTCTGGGGAATAGTCCTTGTTTCCTTTCAGCATCAGTAGGCCCAGCATTCCTTGGAGCTCTCCATACATCTTGGCATCAGTCTTCTCCTGAATATAAGAGTTTCACAATGCAGGGAAGGAAACACTCCACTAGCTGATAGAAGTGGTACTAGTGGTATGCCGTCCAGTCATTTCCAACTCATAGCAACCCTCTTTAGGGTTTCCGAGGCAGTAAATCTTTCTGGGAAGAGAAAGCCTCATCTTTCTCCACTGGATGGTTGATAAATTGGAATTACTGGCCTGCGATTAGCAGAACAGTGCATAACCCACTACGCTACCAGGGATCCTTCTTGATAGTGGTAGGTCCCTCTATCTCTGCTCACTTCTCTCTCCTTTTATATCTCAAAATGCCGCTTAATCCTGTAGATTGTATCCAACCTCATTAACAACACAAAATTGAGGATTTACAACACATAGGATAATTACACCAGATCAGAGCTGATCAGTCAGAACACATCATGGAAGTGATTGCATCATATTAGATCTCATCATGAAGCTGATTACTATATCTTAGCTGCTAAACCATTTGAGAATCCAGGCCCATCCAAGATGACACAAAACCTTAACTATCACACTTGCCTGACAGAGAAATCCCATGAGACAAGGAAGGGCCTGGGAGCAGGAGTCATGACCAACCACAGGACAGTCAATTTCATTTTAAATCTGAAAGAGGACCACCTAAGAAATCACAGAGGCAAGCACTTACAAGTCCCTGTCTTTTCACCTGGCTTTCTGTGAAGGTTTGGGATTGGAGGAGTGTCAGGTAAGGCTATGGTTAAGTGAGTCGAGCTGGACAGGTAACAGTGGTAAAGGTCTATGATGGGAGCGCTTCTCCCTGATGGGAGAATGTGCCATCTATCAAGGAAGAGTTAGAGTTAGTTATAGAAAGAGGAGTCCCTGAGTAGTACAAACAATTCATAATGATCGACTTCTCATTGAAAGCTTGGATGTTGGAGTCCATCCAGATATACCTTCAAAGAAAGGTCT